TGCGCAGTACTTTCACTGCTTTGCGATTTATTCTATAGTTGGCCACGGGCTTAGTATTTTCTCCAACGTAAACGTTCGTTCAAAATATAGCGTATGGTGTTCCTGTTCGAGTCGCCATCTGGGTGTTTCGGAAAGTCGAGTAACAGGTGATATACAGGGTGTTTCAAGAAATGTGTCCAATGTTATTACAAAATCATCGCTGTCTTCACAGATCCTTCTTCCGTAGCGGCAGTCATCTTAAGAGGGTTAAAAATATCATTTAGAACAGTAATTATGAAATTTAAATTGATTAAGTTTTAAATGCGAAGCATTTCTTAGCGAACTTCGGCGACTTTGAGCGTATCTATCTATCTATCTATCTATCTATCTATCTATCTATCTATCTATCTATCTATCTATCTATCTATCTATCTATCTATCTATCTATCTATCTATCCGCCTACGGCTTTTAGCTCTCCTGGCCGTTTCGATAATGGTATCAATACCAAACTTGGTGAAGCATAACATGGCTTTCCGATGGAGGCGGAAATGTTGTAGGCCCGTGTACTCGGATTTGGGTGCACGTTAAAGAACCCCAGGTGGTCAAAATTTCCGGAGCCCTCCACTACGGCGTCTCTCATAATCATATGGTGGTTTTGGGACGTTAAACCCCACATATCAATCAAATCAATCGAAGCTTAGCATGGCTGTATGAAGAACATATTTGACTAGTCGTAACATAAAAATCATGACATGGATGTCATCATGTCATGATTTACATGTCATGGTCTTGCTGCTCTTGCGGTGGTTTCGTTCACATGCTATGTTGCAAACGTGGTATGGTATGACATGCATGGCGAACACATGTGACAGACCCTAACATGAAAATTATGACATGCGTGTCATGTAACAACATGACCACATGCCACGCTCTTGATGCGCTCGTGGCCGTTTCGCTAGCCTCACATATACCAAATTTGGTATTACGGTACGTGAATGGATGGCGAAGGTAGACTGGTGCAAATATGATAAACATGAGATGCGTGTCATGTAAGAACATGACTACATGCTGCGCTCAAGATGCACTCGCGGCCGTTTCGCTAGCTTCACATGTACCACACTCGGTATTACGCGACGCGAACGGACGATATAGGTAAATGACACATCCAAACATGATAATCTCGACATGCGTGTCATGTAACAACATGACTACATGCCACACTCATGATGCATTAGCGACTCTTTGGCTAGCTTCATAAATGCCAAATTTGATATTACGTGACGCCAATGAATGACGAAGGTATGTGACTGGTGCAAACAAGATAATCACGAGATGCGCGTCATGTGAGAACATGACTACACGCCACAGTTAAGGCGCCAATACATTTCGACATGACGCGGTGCATGTGCTCGCCGGCGTTCATTTGGTTGCGCCACGCCGGCGTTGCCACGCCAGGCGCCGGTCCTGCCATATACTCGCAGGCACGCGCCGCGCTGCGTTGCTTTGACGCATGCGCGTTCCAGCGCGTCCGGCGGACCTCCTTCACGAATAGAGGGAGACGCAGTGTTGTCGGGCAACGCATCGGCACAAAATGCGGCATGTCGCATTTCGCGCCGGTTGCCGCCGGGCCGCGCCGATGGACGCTGGTCGCGCCGGTATATCGCCTGGCGTCAGACAGAGTGCTCGCGTTCTGCTAACGTAGCGTCGCTGTGCCCAGCGTGCGCGCGCGTCAACGCTACATTGGTGTATATTGGGCCCTGCATGATGCACTCGCGGCCGTTTCGCTAGCTCCGCATATACTAAATTTGGTGTAACGTAACGTGAAAGGATGACGAAATATATATGACTGGTGCAAACATGATAATCTTGACACGCGTGTCATGTAAGAACATGACAACATACCACACTCATAGCGTGCTCGCAGGCGTTTCGCTAGCTCAACATATACTAAATTTCGTATCGCGTGACGTGAATAGATGACGAAGGTAAACGACAAATCCAAACATGATAATCATGACATGAAAGTCATGTACGACATCATTTACCTCCACCTCGTAACGTTGTGCAGATTTTAATATGACATATCAACCTTTCCCATTCGTGCTTCGCATATCATTGATTCCCACTGTACGTGGGATCTGCCAATTTTTTATTTAGTGTAGTTATGCAATTAAGTCAAATGAGAGAATTGAATTCCTTCACGCGAAGAACCGATTGCCGCTTTGAGATTTTGGAAAGTCGGGCTCTAGTAATGAGTGCGAATCAATAAAGTTCTCCCGCATTCTATGGGGAAACCGAAACTGAAACTTGAAAGAGCACAACTGAAATGAGGAGTCAACCATCAATTAACAGAATTCGTTGTGTGGGTTTGTGGGCTGCGCTCGCAATTACAACAGGCATGACGCACGTACGTTAACGAATGGGGAAGAACTGCACTGCTACTGCTGTAAGTGCTGTTTTGAACGGCGACGTCATTGTATTCGACTGGTAGTTGCCCTCATCGGTCCTTTCGTTTCGGTTTCGCCACAGAATTCAGGAGAATTTAATTAATTCGCACTTATTACTAGAGGCCGCTTTTCCAAAATCTCAAAATGGAAATCAGTTGTTCACATGAACGACTTCAATTCTCACACTTGACTTAACTGCCTAATTCTAATTAATTAAAGGTTAATTATTATAACTTTCTGAATTACTGTTCCAAATAATGTTTTCTTAAGATGCCTGCCGCTACAGAAAAGGCAAATGTGAAGCCAGCGAGCAAATAGCGTATTTTGCTGCTCTCTAAACAATATTGAACCCATTTCTTGAAACACTCTGTATATCCTCGTCGTCGTGGCCGTTCATTACATGTTGACGATATTGCACGGTGCATCCGAAGTAGAAAGTGTTTTGTGTAAGCAGTTCCTAGTATAAGGTGATATGTTTGATCGTGTCAATACATGTTACGTGCTGAGGGTCTAATTGGCCCTCAAGATTAGGATCAACAGCATATCGGATCGATTTCTTTGTCTGAAAACCAGGTAGGCAATCATAACTCACGTTTCGTTCTTCTTAAAATTCTGTTTATACCACATTGATGCAGATGAATTAGGCGGGTTTGCGTATAAACGATGAGCGGTTATCACCAACTCATCTGCCCTTTCATTTCCTTGATTCCGCAGTGACTGGGATACCATTGAAAAGCCACTTGATGATCGGACTTCGTAGCTTCTGAAAGCTCGTTTAATATCTCGTATACTACGCACATCGATGTTTTTGAACAAGCATTTTATCCTTCCCATTCTCCTGACCGTGCAATATCTACCCACCCCTTGCTGTACTATACTTTACATCGATATATCATGCTTTACCCTCACCCTTCCTCATCTCATTTCTCCACAACTTCACTTTCCTTTTCCACCCCCTTTTTATACTGAATTATTCAGGGTTATGCTATGCCAGGAGCTGCTTGACACAATCCTGGTTTCTATGAAGCATATCAACATACAACAGCTCACAGCACTACTTCAACATTTAACAGCTCCGTCGTTGAAAACGTTAAATTTCCTGCACCGAGATACCTTCCACGCAGAGAATTTGTTTGTACTAAATAGCCATACAACCAGACACAGAAATTAGGTCGTGATGGTAATTTACACAAAATTTTAAGCCTACTTGCAGTTGCCCAGCATGCTCACAGTGCACCACCTGTATCGAAAACACCCGCCACCAACCAAACTGCGGTCCAACTTTCCGAGAGTCATCCCGTCACGTCAGTGGAATGGCTGCGCCACGCCACGGCAGCTTACAGCAGTCATCACATGTGAGCAGCGTGTAGTTTCTGCTTGTTCTGCATTAGCTAGGTTTGGTCGCTTGACTTGCCCATGCAGAGTTGCATGTCCGCAATTTACACACGCCGGATAAATTCTATGCCTCTCAATAAAGACTTTTCTCCAATCACCTCGAGAACACAAATGGTCTATAGACCATACTTGAATAAGTATAGCAGGTGACGCGGAATAACTTGCGGTGCGTGCCACCGCGCATACTAAACAAGAGTCCTCTGCAGACCCACAGGAACCAAACGTATGCATCGACGGTGTTCTGTGATCGACGTGGCAAGAGAACTCTGAAACTACTTCTAAACAATACTACTCTAGCCACTGTAACAATACCTAGCAAAACTACCGCGCCATCTAGTATGGAGCAAAGAAAGGCGACAACAACTTTCAAGATTGCCGCCATGTTTCAGTCTCTGAGGCAAAGCTGTTTCATATTTTGTTTGTAGGTGGCGCTACAAAACAAAAATATTCGCCGTGAACAGTGTGTTGATTTCTTCACTGACAAATAATGCAACGTACATTCCTTACAATCAATGTGCGTGCCGAATAATTGTATCGTTTATCTTACAACGCTGTTTGCCCAAGCGACACGAATGGCGAGAAACTGTCAGTCTGCCACACATGGGAAAATTTCAGTAATGCTAATGAAAACGAGCTCATCGGGTTGAATATCTCGTTGAATAGTAAATAGCAGCGAGTAGCTTTGTGCAATTGTACAAGTAAACAACGAATTTCAATTGCTCAGGAATTGTGGTTCATTACATATCAAAATGAAATCCACTTTCAAAAAAAAAAAAAAAACTCAATTATGTGTGTTTGAACTGTATTGTTTTCTTGCTAGAGAAACACAACATTTTTAGTTCTGAATTTTCAGTTGTGTACTTGTCGAATTGAAGGATTCGTCAAATAAGACGTAAATGCTATCAGTGTCGAGAACACAAAGGGGAAAACACGGAATGCCTGCATATCAATGAAATTTGGCACCAAAACAAAACTTATTTATTTGACATTGCGCAGCAACTGCAAATCATAAAATAGCGACGCGCTACCGAGTAAACACAAGCCACATCACATGAAAGCCCGCGAGCAGCCGGGGCTGTCGCTTCGGAGCGATCGACCGGCAAATCCCAAACCGAAACCTCGCCGACAGGTGTCGTGACGCGCGCGAGTGGCGACGCATGCGCAACGCATCTGTTTGTGCGTGCGTTTCAATGGATGTGCGTGCGTTTCCATCCGGGCATCGTAGCGCTGGTGCGAGGCGCGAAAGCAACCCGAACTTCTTGAAAATTGCGTCAGCGCATCGTAGCCAAAGTTCAGCGCGCCATTTCAGGTGAGTTGAGCACGCTCTTGTCCCGAGTTCTTCGAATGGCGTCGTAGAACCAGCCGCGACGCAGGCGGATACACTGCTGCGGGCAAACCCGCGCTACGAGCGCGGCACCCAAGGTTGACATTCTGATGCAGATGCCTAGGCCTAGCGCCATTACTTGTGGCGGGAGACGTTTCGCTCGGTCGTGTGTTTTTCTACCTGATCTGACGTTCACGGCTCGTATTCGACTTCGTCTCTCAAGCGCGACCGTCGCGATAATCTGCGATGCCAGCACTACGCTATCTTCACGGTTCTTCGTTGCCTAGGAGCGAGCGTTGGCAGTCTGGAGATTCAAAACTTTCGCCAAAACAAACAAACAAGCGTCGCAGCTGTTTCGGTCTGCTAGGACCAGTTTCCGCGGCGGACTTCCTACGGGCTGGCTTCGGGTGCCGTGGCGTGTTACGTCCCGCGTCGGGTATTGTGAAAAAGAAAGCCGAGGGAGCTCATTTTCCTGCTCACAATCGCGCCTGTTTGGGGAAACGAGCGACGACTTCGACGGGGGCCAAAACTTGCGGCGCGTTGAAGGTAGGCGTTGCAGAGAGGGTCGATGAGCGCGCTGTCTCGAAATCGATTCGTGTGGGGGCTTCGCATAACGAGCGGAAGGTGTCTCGCTTTCACCTGGGGTGCCGCGATCGCGCTTTTGCACCGTGATTTGACGCCACAGCGTGCCTTCGCGGGGGCAGGGCAGCGTCCGAAGTGTTCGGTAACGCGCATGCGAAGTCTGGTGTGAGACGCGCCGAGCGTGTTTCGAACGAAGTGGTGGTGGTTCGAGCGTCGACCTAAAAATAGCCCCCTCTATTTAGGTGGCGTGGCCTGGGTAAGCGTCGCTACGATCGGAATTTACGATTCCATAGAGCGTAAAGAAGGGGATTGTGTCTTGTTCATGCGTTGTGGTGTGTTTTTAGTTGTTTTTTTTATCTCTCTAGGTTTGTTGGTCAGTCGGGTCGCTCAAACGCCAGTGAACGCTCGCCAGCGCGTACAAACGCTAATTGCGTTGGCGCACAGGTTGCTTGTGCCGATGAACTGGCTCGCAGCTCACGCGCGCCCTACAGTGAAATATTCAGATGCGCCTGCAAGTCGTTTAGGCCGCAGTGCTCACGAGGAGCGAGAGAAAAGAAACTAAACAGCTGCTTGCTTTAGAACATCTGTTTCAACTGTTTAACGCGCTGGCTAGTACGTAGCCTGCATGGGCGTTGACTCAGCTGGTGACTCATACGCTGACCGATTTCAAGGCGTTCCCGCCGGTCCGTTATTGATGTCCCCTTCTCGGCGGATGGTGCCGCCCGCATGCTTTTACACGAGCTGAACGAGGGCCGGTCTGTAGTTTAATACGAGATCACGTGACGTCAACGCCTGAGGCTCGGTGTGTCTGCGCTACTGGCTTTGTAGGTAACAGCACAACGTTTGTGGAGAGCAGAATGTGTTGTGTTTAGTGGTGGCGCAGTACCGCGAAGTGTTGCTAACTTTTTTTATCCTGTCTCGCGGCGTGCCTCCCCTTTGACGCGTCCTGTTTGCAACAGGTGCGATAATTCACACTTGGCCTCACGCGGCGACATGGTCCCTATTAGAAATACCGTACAACGCAACAAGCTCCTGCATTGTTTGCCGGTTTCATTTAGTGTAATTAATGCAGAGCTGAAACTGGTTTCGTAGTTATGCCTTGGTGAAGTTCAACCCCACGTTGTGAAGTGTACGGCGTGTTGAAAACGCAGCCACCGCTTGCTCATAAACATGCTATGGTGTAGATAGCATAGAGATCTTGAATTCTTTTCCACGAAATACTTTTTTTTTCTTCTCTTTTTACCATTTCTCCTGCAACGTTGATTGATTGATTGATATGTGGTGTTTATAACGTCCCAAAATCACCATATTTTCTCCTGCAGCGAATATTTTGTGGTATGACTGCTTGAAATATACTGCACGAAATATGCGATTAAAAAACTGTTGCTCCTTGCATCTACATACTGAGTCGACGAACTTTTTTTAAGCGCGCGTTTGCAGTATGTGCACCAGCTATCGGGCTTTTTTTAGAAAATACCATGTTGCGAAAGTTCCTGTGAAAATACGTTGCAAAATAGAAGCAGGCTGTCGATATTTACTGTGCAACGATCGACTGTGTGCAGCCTGACTAAAAAGAAAAGATAAACAAGTTTTTTGTAGGCGGTGGGGTGCTGCCCTGTATAGTGTGAAATACGTACACGTGTATCGCGCATGACGTACTCAGCTAAGTGTGTACATTGTGCAAAAGTGTATAAACTGACTGCCGAGTGCCACGAAGGACCTCAGGCTTCCAGGCCGAGCATCGCGCCTAAAAATACTTCCTGGTCTTTTTTTTTTTTTTTTTGGAAGATGACGATTTCGCAAAACGCGATGCAACCGTGCTCGTTTCCGCTGTTAAGCCGTCACTCTGATTAGGACGTTGATTGTGTCTGCGTCAAAACAGCATGTGTTCGAAGAAGTTTGCTATTGCCTTTCTCAATAACACTAAGTTCAGTGTGACAGCTGTTTTTCTTGGGGACGCTTTTTTTTTCGTCGTTTAAATTTTACCACAACAGCAGTTGTGGCGTAGCATGTTGTTGTGAATATGGGTCCGAATCGTTTGATAACCGAGGTGCTTTACGGAGTATGACTGACGCATACACTTCACGAATGTTTCAATGCTGGATTACAATCGCCGCGCTATCAAAACAAGCCACTGTTCGCAACTGAAAGGGACCGTTAACTAAAGCTTACATCGTTTTCACGGCACAGAGTATGCATTTGTCCGAAGTGCAAATATAGGAGGGACCTGTACTCGTAACACGCGACCGTCCAATAGCGCGGCAACAGGTTGCCAGTGGTTGCTAGTGTCGCGAATAAGCCGGCCCGCCCAGGTTCATTTCGACGACGGTGTTTGGGCGATTGTCTTGGAAGGAACCTGGACCGCCTAATCGAATCATCCTATCATCAGACGCGCGATATATCGTGTGCGCGCCCCGTGGAAAACAGCAGCGGCGATAAGATGCGCGCATGTATCGCATCTCGTCGGGTGCCGCGAAAAAGCTTCGGGCTCGCGCCTATCTCCGTAAACATCGAATCAGCGGGAGCGCTTATCGCGCGCGCCTGCCCGCCTCTTTTCGGCCGCTATCCTAGGCGCGCGTACCCATCGCCTCGTTGGCGGGCGCGACCCGCTCAGCTGTTTCGCCCCTACCTGCGCTCTCGTGCTGACGGCGCGCTGTCGACGCATGCGCGCGTCGGTCGCTGGCGCAAACAAGATCGGTACGGAGTGCGCTCGAACATGCAGTCGAAGGGGCAGTACCTCTTCCGCTGGCGGGGCAGGAACGTTTTGCCGCCATCCATAGAGCTGTGAATGAGGGGTTGGGGGGCGAAGGGGGCGTCCTTTTCTGCCCCCTTTGTGCTATGGCTCCGCTGCGTTCCGTAAAAAAAAAAAAAAAATTGGCAGATCCCACGTACAGTGGGAATCGATGTCATGCGAAGCACGAATGAGAAATGTTGATATGTCACTTTAAAATCGGCACAACGTTACGAGGTGGAGGTATACATGATGCCGTACATGACTTCCGTGTCATGATTATCATGTTTGGATGCGTCTTCGGGGTCTGTTCACGTAACGTGATACCAAATTTACTATATGTGTAGCTAGCGAAACGGCTGCGAGCACGGTATGCTGTCATGTTCTTACATGATACACATGTCAGGATTATCATGTTTGCACCAGTCATATATTTTATCATCCATTGACGTCACGTAACACCAAACTTGGTATATGTGGAGCTAGAAAAATGGCTGAAAGCAAATCATGAAGGGTCCAATGTACTCCTATGTAGCGTTGACGCGCGCGCACGCTGGGCACAGCGACGCTATATAGTCTGACGCCAGGCGCGACCAGCGTCCGTCGGCGCGGCCCGATGATGGCAACCGGCGCGAAATGAGACATGCTGCATTTCGCGCCGATGCCTTTCTCTATGCCGATGCGTTCCCCAGACAACACTGCGTCTCCCTCTTTTCGTGACGAAGAGACGCCGGAAGCGTTGAAACGCGCATGCATCGAAGGAACGCAGCGCGGCGCGCGCCTGCGAGTATACGGCAGGACGGGCACCTGGCGTGGCAACGCCGGCGTGACGCGACGAAATGGACGCCGGCGAGCACGCGCACCGCGTCATGTCGAAACGTATTGGCGCCTTCACTGTGGCATGCCATGTTCTCACATGACACGCATGTCGTGATTATCATGTTTGGACGTGTCATTTACCTGTGTCGTCCGTTCGCGTTGCGTAATACCGAGTTAGGTACATGTGGAGCTAGCGAAACGGCCGCAAGCGAATCATGAGCGTAGCATGTAGTCATGTTGCTACATGACACGCATCTCATGTTTATCATGTTTTCACCAGTCGCATGCCTTTGTCATCCATTCACATACCGCAATACCATATTTGGTATATGTGACGCTAGAGAAACGGCCGCCAGCGCATCATGAGCGTGGCATGTAGTCATGTTGGTCTGTCGCTTGTGTTCGCCATGCAGTCATGTCATACCATACCAGTTTTGCAACATGTCATGTGAACGGAACCCCACCGCAAGAGCTGCAGGATCATGAAATGTTAGTCATGACATTCATGATATGCATATCATGATTTTCATGTTACGACTAATGAAATATGTTCTTCATACAGTCATGTTATGCCATATCAAGTTTGGTATCGATACCATTATCGAGACGGTCAGGAGAGCTAAAAGTCGTAGGCGGCTAGATAGAGAGATAGATTGATAGATACGCTCAAAGTCGCCAAAGTTCGCTAAGAAATGCTTCGCATTAAAAAAAAAAAATTCATTGTTACTTTTTGTTGTTGTTTTTTTTTTCATTCTCTACACAAATGCCCTTCAATAACTGCCGTGTCAACTGAAGTCCTCTCATAGCTTTTCATTTTCTTTGTGTGGGGGGGGGGGGGGGCAGATATAAGGGC